AGTTATTTACATTTGTATTATTTTTAACGAATCGGTTTATCTGCAGTCCCGGACCCCAACATATTATTCCCATTCAACTTCGATCTTATTTTTCTATATCACGTTGAAATAACGGTTTCTCGAACGATAACCGAAGTTAACCAATGTCGAGCCTGGTCAGTACCTGGATGGGTGACCGCTTTGGAATTCCAGGTACTGTAAGCTTATATGCGCAGGTGGTATAATGGATAATAATTTGGAAATGTTAATCTGTTCCAATTCCGGTCTAGTTCATTATATTCATTTACGCGTAAATACACTTTTTTTAAGCATTTCACCCCATGCAAGGTGGGAAGCTACTAGGATGCAAGGGGTTACAGAAAATTTAGAGCAAGATCAGATAGGAGTGATAGAAGAAAGGATGAGGGTAGTGGATAGATCAAGGCAACTGGAGATGTCGATTGACATTACACTTGAATAGCTGGAGATTACAGGAATAGGGAATGGAGTTCCACGGGTGAGAGGTGCGAGACATGAAGCTATTGGAGTAGAAGAGACGGCTACATTTAGGAGTTTCGACAGTGAAGAGGTGAGAGCGGGATGCCAGTCCCGTATGGTGCTTGAACTCATGACGTCTGGGAACCAGCGAATGCAGCTCATCGGAGCAATTTTCATGAAAGTATTTGTAGAACAGACAGAGAGAGGCGACGGCGCGTCTGTGCGAAAGTGACTGTAGACGAGACGCCAGGCAGGGCCAACTACATTGCATATATGCCTCTGGAGCCTATCAAGAACCCCGAGGCAGACAGAAGGGGCACCAGACCATATATGGCAGCAATACTCCATGCAAGGGGGAATTGTTGATTTGTGGATCTGGAGGATGGACTCCGGGGAGAAAAACTTGGGAAAGGCATGAACTCACCTCTCCCCCAGCTGCGTGGTGATAACTTGGAACTGAATTAGTTAACGATTATTATCTCCCATCAAATCTTGAAATCCAAAAATATAGTTTCTGGCTTTAAATAACCTAAAAAAGATCGATAAACCGTAAAAAAGAAATCAATCCATCAATCTTTTTTTTATTATTTCTTTTGATTCGAACATCTTTACTCATTTACTGAAGATGATACGCTCAATTTTCATTCAAGCAAGATCGATATTTCATATTCTGTCTTGTTCACAAACTTCGAACTTCTTTTGATCTATGCTTTTAACTTCCAAATCGTTCATACGCTGATTCTCTACATCGTTCCATGGACATTGATTGATTGATTTGTTTAACGTCATGTCAACTCCTCATTGGTCATTTAATGCTGTATTTCCTATTCTTGGGAGCTTTGTTGTAATAAAAATAGGATATATGTCATTCTGCTTTCACAATTGGATACATGGTAGATGATACTCAGATTTTGTGCATATATGTGTTTGTATGGAAATAATTACTAGAGGCGGTGATATGTGTGTTTTACATTGTTTCGAAGTTATATCTTGAAATACAGTTTGATTTATTTAAGAAAATGTCGGATATTATATGGATTAATATTATGGAACACTTCTTTCATGTTGGCTGTTTGGGTGTTTGGTTGATGTTGTTTAGTGGCATATCGACTTCTCTATTATTTAATGCTAAAATATATATAATTTGAACGCAATTGTACGCATTCAACTAAAGATATACGCATTGTTGTTCCTTTGTAAAATGTATTACTGTTATTTTTACGAAAAAATTTTTTTTTTACTTTATACTGATTTTGGGGGTGGGGCGTCCTTATTTACACATAGCTGGGACCGTAATATATCCTACCGAGGGGGTCATGGTGCACCTGGGCACAGCAGCAATTCCAGATCAGAGGCAATACTGCCAAATGTAGTTTGTCATAACCAGAACTTTTTATATAGTTACTATATTATAGTCAGTTATTGAACGAAGACACACACACACACACACACACACAGATATATAGCTAATATTAGTGGTGAATATAAACATACATATGGAATCTATATAAATATATATATATATACATAGGTGTATACACAAACATGTATATTTTTTTAATAAAAACTTCTAAGCGGATAGAATGAAGTTAGAACTCAATGTCCACGACAAAGTAAGGAAAAATAAAAAGGCTAAGCCTTTTTATTATATATATATATATATATATATATATATATATATATATATATATATATATATATATATATATATATAATTGCCCGTGCTTGATTCAAAAATCGTACGACTCATACAGCAATCGCTATTACTTGACTTAAAACATTTTTACTCTTCCTTGTCTTTAAAGGAGTGCCCTTTGCCGTGCTGATGTTGCTACATGCCTTACTTGTCTATCTCACACTGCGAATTTTTTCTAAGCTCTATACAAAACATTAAAACTGTTACGAGAAAAGAACTAAACAAAATGAACACAAAACGATCAGCTTTAAAAAAAAGGACTCGTAACTGGAAAAACTGAATGAAAAAAAATGTTAACAACAAATACTTTTTCATACCCAACCCAGTTTTGCGGAATCAGAATCAACGTTGAGTTTAAGCAAGCAAATGAGCCAATTGGAGTAAAGTGCCATGCAAATATAATTTTTTCCACTTGTGACGAATGCAGCTAACGATTTTTTTTTTTCATGTTAACATGCTATTTAACATTCGTGTCAGTCAGCTGTTGTTTCTCACGCTGGCCAATAGAATTGCCTAGCTGTTCGTGGAAGCCAGCTATTGGCCCTAACTCTGGCCAGTACAAAATGTCCGCAAACTACATGAAAACTGTCGTAGAAGCATGAAAAGATCGATTATTTCCACTATCGATGGGAGTTGGGAAATGCAAAGTCGGTCTTGGCCTTCTCGCTAACTTGGAGCATGTGCATGTAAATTTCGGTGGAAATCCGTCGAAAATGGCGACCGTGCATTCGTTATAAACACACACACATCCTGTTTTTATAGATAAAGATATACAGACACAAATTATTATCTCCAAATTATATATATATATATATATATATATATATATATATATATATATATATATAGACGTTTTATGTTTATACATTCTTTTTTATAGATAAAATATTTAAGTAAATGCTCTGTTTATAATAAACAGTATTAAACAACATTTACCGGCCTGAATGACCGAGAATTTTTCATAGAAAATATTCGTCCTCCGGTAAATTCAGGCCGGTAAATGTTGTTTAATACTGTTTATTTTAAACAGAGCATTTACTTAAATATTTGTATCTATAAAAAAGAATGTATAAACATAAATATCTTAAAATAATTGTCGGACTTTATCCATTTCATATATATATATAACAGACAATGAATTACATTTCAAACTAATCACAACTCATTACATTTAGACATATGGTTTTGTTAATATTTCGGCCGCTCTCGTAGTATGACGCCACAGAACCGCATCTGGCGTTTGCTATTCCGCGACCGTTATCGCCGCATAGCAATCTTCTGTATCAAAATAACAATATATTAACTTCGACGGTGAATATCTTTCTTAAAATGTCCGTATAACACTTCTGTAGATGGCTTTTGTCGCCCGAAAACTTAGATCAAGGACCAAATTAATAAAAATATCCGAAGTATTTTTTTGTCTTTATTTTCAACTGAAATTGAAGCAAGCATGCGAACTTAAGAACGGCTCATGATCCGACATAATAGTCAGTCATTGTATGTTATATTTAACAATTACAATACGGTTAAATAATGTTCCTCTGCCCCAATACACTATATATATATATATATATATATATATATATATATATATATATATATATATATATATATATATATATATATATATGTGTGTGTGTGTGTGTGTTTGATTGAATAATATAGACATATTCAGTCTACATAGTTGTATACTGATTCTTTCCAGATGTGTAATCAGTTTCTTGATGCTAAGGTGAATTTCATCAAGGAATGCGTCGTAGTTTTTTCTTTATGCGCAGGCAGGGGACCAATTATTCTCCATCACTCGTCATCTAGGGCTTTATACGTCGGGGTCCTTTCGCCCGTAGATTTCCATCCTGTCTGTGATCAGGAGGACAATATTTGAAAATGTTTCTCACGATAGCGATTTAGAATGCGTGGGGCTTGAGGGATTGGAGTAAGGCTGCCCTCCTGCTTCGTGATCTGTCTTTAAGCGTAGATATGGCTACGATCAAGGAAAGAGACTTTGTACTTTCGATTATTCTAAAATCATGTTCAGTAGTAAATTAAAAAGACTAACTTATTATAACTGCGATAAAATTGGCATTCCGTTGTCATAGAGATTCTTAAACCACGCACAAACGCGCTGTTACAGATATTTTAGAAATTTTAAAATTTATACATTGTAGTTATGGAAATTTTTGCACATCAAGAGCTTCAATATAAGGGAAGTATATATTGCAGAAATATAAAATGACATCAAATGTTGTATGCACATTAATATGTTGTTGCTATATTTTTAATATATTTTGTTGGATTTTGGTTGGTTAATCTTTCAAATACAAGTTCGATTTCACATCTAAAAACACATTCCTGTCCACATTCTCAGGAAACACAGAAAACTACTTGTTGGGAAAACCATTATACTATAGCACGAAAATAATAAACACAATTCAAATTCTCGTGGCCCACTATATAAAAAGAAATTATGAAAATAATAACGGGTAAGAAAGTCTATTGTTTGAAAATATATTCCATATTACAAAATAGCTGAACTTAATACGTTGATTCATTTAAATAAAAATTCGTGTTTTGATTTTATTCAAATTTTACTTTTTCTGTTTTTCGTCTTTTATTTCTACAACCATATTTCGTCTATGACACATATTTCTTTCCTCACCATGACAACGCAAGTATTGTTTCTTTTTCACTTGCATATGTTTACAGAGCGGTATGCACATAGATTGCAGAAAAAATGATTATAGATACATAGGAAAAACAGGCTGAATCAGCTAGTCAGTTTTTTAAAAAAACAAAATAAAATTCTAGAGAGTCAATCGAGTTACAGTCAAAATGGTAATGTTGAATTTGGTATTTGATAGGAATGGAAAAGAAGGGAATGAAAATGAATATTACTAAGAGACAGAGGAAAGAAAACGATTGACCATTCCATGAAATTGCTGAGATAGATAGATAGATAGATAGATAGGGACAGATTTTGATAGATAGATAGGAACAAACTATAGATAGATAGATAGATAGATAGATATGTCATTTTCCTGTGCTGTGAAGTGAATTCAATTTGTATTTTATATAATTATTTTCATTGCCGTTGTTCTAATGAGCTAGACTGCATGTATTTAGATTGCTAATAGCAATTTTGTCTCATCATTTTAATGCTGAATTAACTAGATATAACCGTATGTTCTATATTGATAGTTTCTTTTATTTCATTTCTCGTCTTTGGAATTCTATGCCAATTTCTTAATTCCCTGCCACCTGCGATCTTTCAAAAATTAATATCAATCATATCCCGAAACCTGTTCTTTTATTGTCCTTTCTCCTCTGCTTGCGTCTTAGTGGCAATATCGCCTTGCTTGGCCTGAAATTATTTAAAAAAGACGAATTTCATACATATATACATACATACATAGTGTGATAAATAGACAGACAGATAGACAAACAGATAGATAGATAGATAGATAGATAGATATGAACATACTGAGATAGGTAGACAGATATGAACAGACTAAGATAGATAGATAGATAGATAGATGATAGATATGAACAAACTAAGGAACAAACTGGTATAGATATGAGAATACTGGCATACATATAGACAGATAGATAGATCTGAACAGACTGTGATATATATATATATATATATATATATATATATATATATATATATATATATATATATATATATATGATGTTAGCCTATTTTCAGAAAGGTACAGACGGACAGGTAAATAATAAGGAATTGATTAACCGTCGCCTGCAGAGATTGCTTTTTTCCTGGTGTTTTTGAATGAAAACCACCGAAAACTAAGTTCAAGAGAAGAGGTTAAGAACTAATTACAAAAAAGAAAAGAAGAAGATCGACAAAGCCAACAGATAAAGCACAGAGGAAGTGAACCAAATCCAATGGGACAAAGGTGCTAATTAAAGAGTGAAGATTCTAATAATGATAACGCTATAATAATTGTCATGTCAAACACCATATTCAGCTCTCGAAATACAAGCAATTTTCGAGAGATTACAACAAAAAAATCCTCCCCATGAGAAGAAGATCACACAACAGGAATTTAACATATTCATAGAAATAGAAGTATATAAAGTGGAAATGCGGATAACATCTCTTGCTCCAAATTTGGTTAAATTTAAACAATGTATTCTAAGACATATACCAAATCAGAATAACACGGTGTAAAAAAAAATGTCTTTTTTGTCTTTGGTGAGTAAGTTTTATTTTCGTATTTTCTGTCTCGAATACAAAGGAAATAACTAATACCCCCTTCAAACTTTGTTTTGTAACCGAGACATCAATGGTTTGAAACTAACCTTTTTTGCATTACCTCCCATACACATTCAGTGCTGAGTTATGGAAGTATAATTTTTAGAACTTTCTAGAAATTTCTAGAACTTTGGAGAAGATTCTTAAAGTTTCAAGAATTTCTAGAACTTTCTTGCAACATAGTTGACAGTATATATATACGGGGAAATTCAACCCAATAATTCAGTTTACTTCTAGCTGAAACGCTTTTACGTCGGTTGATTTAGCGTTTTATTGTTCGAAGTAAGTGTTTAATTATGTCTATGTTCGTCATTATTATTGGATTTTCTCTATTTATTTTGCTTTACGTACAAGAATTCTTGTTCGTTGTTCTGTTTCTATTTGTCAGCATCAAGGATCGTACCTTCTTCCCTTTCTAGAGTTTCATCTTCCACCTCTCTCGATACCACCACTCCCAATACCCCCACGCCCAACACCTCTCAAAAGAAAAAAAATCCCTAGAATGGAAAAATGATGCCATAAAGACAAGAATCCCCTAAAATGCTCTCTTCAAACCCCTTTGTAAAGTATCTTCTATCAACGGAAATCGATGAAAGACTCTATGAATTTCACCAAACAACTTGGTTCAGGAACACAGGAAGGAACGTTAAAGTTTTGGACCATCTCACTGAAGCAAAAGACGCCTTTCCCGGTGTCAGAATGGTAGAGATGGGAACACCTGATCTTAAAAATTACAAAAGTTATGGCAAGGGAGGGTCCCAGTTATTCTCCATCCCTCATTATATAGAGCTTTAGAGCTAACGTATACATCGGGGTCCTTTCCCGTGCAGATTTCCATCCTGTCTGTGACTAGGGGAACAACACTTGAAAATGTTTCTGAAGATAGCTAGTTTGAATGCGAGGGGCTTAAGGGACTGGAGTAAGGCTGTCTGCCTGCTTCGTGATCTGTTCTTCAGCGTAGACGTGGCCACGATCAAGGAAACACACTTTGTTTGCGAGGTTGTTATCCTTGTGCTGTTTAGCGACAATGTTGTCTATTCAGCATATAGCCAGATGTGTTACCTTGCTGGTTAAACGTACCCCGGTCTATGTCAATACGTGGGCCGGTTGATCGTGGCCGATATTACCGTGAAAAATAGTTTATTTCGCGTCGCTGCGGTTTATGCCTCCAACTGTCACAGGAATGGTCTCTCGTTTTTCCGTCAGTTAGGGCCGTTTCTGGTGGATTCCTCGCACTTAGTTTTGTGGGGACTGGAATGCCATCCTGGACATCGCTAGCTCCTTGACCCCTCTTTTTGTCGGGTTCCAGGAGTTAGGCGGGAATTGGACGATCTTAGCCTCGTTAATCCGTATGCGGAGTTTGGTCTCGTCGATAGATAACGCGTCGATTACCGTAAGCGGAAGATATGAATCTGAGCGGGACTTCTGACAACAGCTAATTAGTCTAGTGCAGCGGGAACCAGTTGGGTGAAGTTTACGGATAGAATTAGGTCCTTCAGCACCGAATATAACCAGCGGCTTCTCTATATAAATCTAAAAACTTGAAGGCTTTCAATGATACTCAGAGGCTTATTGCGCTTCCCTAGAGATAGATTTATCTCGGCAGCCAATGGAGCTCTCGACTAGCGAGCGCTACCAGGGTCAGGTAGCTAGGCATAGGTTAAACAAGATGTCTAAGGAAGACGTGAACATGGGCACACTATTGAGCAAGTAAGAGATACGTCGAGGTTCAGCTCGATACTGGAGGAGCATACTCTGAGTTAGACCGATGACATATGTGAGGCGTTTCGTCGGCATTTAGAGAACCGGTTTACCATGGAGCCTTGTGCCTTTGACGAAGAGTTTCGCAATTACTTGACTTTCGCCGACTGAAGCAAGCAACTGCGAGGTTGAGATCACGGAGTACAAAGTTTACCTGGTATAAAGAGGGTCGACAGTTGCAAGTCTCCGGGGCTTGATGGTTTACCCTATGAATTGTACTTGAGTCTGTCACACACCTTTGTGCCGATTTTGACTGTCGTGTTCAACAACTGTGGGGATACCCCCAACTGTATCAACAGGCGCTGTTGAAAAATGGCAAGGGTGGAAGGCGGGAATAAGATGATTACAGGCCCGTAAATCTGCTAAACACAGAGTTAAACATTTTTGCGAAGATCCTGACTGAGCGTTTGTAGTCAGCTGCCGAGATTCTGTTGGGATCCGAGCAAACTTGTGCAGGGAAGCGCGAACAATTCCCAGCAACCTGCAATGGATCCGCATGCTCTTACAGAGTGTAAAAATGGCAAGAAAGCCGAGCTGATCAATTTGGATCAGTCGAAGGCATTTGATAGGCTTTGACCGTCGCTACCTGGCTGCTGCCCCGAAGGCCGCCGGATTCAAACCCGACTTCTGCAGATAGATTAGCCTCCTGTATCGCTCGCCCAGTGCAGGGTTATAGATGAATAAAAAGCGCTCGCGCGCTTTTGCGTTGTCTCGATCGGTTCCGTAGAGTTGCCGACTATCGTTCCTACTTTACGATTTGTCGCTGGAACGGGGCGAGCAGTCATGATCTACGTGGAATTGTTATCGCTGGTTGGGATCGAGCTAGGTTTTCAGTCTACGCTGATGATGTATAGATTTTCGTGTCGTGCCGTAGCTACATTGCGGGGGTACAGAATGCGGTTGAACGACACGAAATGTTCACGGGGGCCAAGATTAAACCTAACAAGTCTTCTGGCTTGCAGTTATGTGTCTGTAAGGGAGTGGCCTTTTCAGAGAGCTGTAGTTGGACTAATGGACCCACCACATTCTTGGATTGTTGTTCAGATAGTGAAGGGTTGGTTTGAAGTACAGCCAAAGGTCAAGTTTCGTCCCGGAATTGATTTCAAAGGCGGTTGAAAGGTAGGGCTCAGGCGTGTGCCACTTACGCAATTCCTCTCATCCTTTACCGGTTGTCTGTAGTTCTTCTCGGCAAGGACCATGGGGAGGCGATCGAGCGCTTGTTATCGGCCCTCTTGCGGGGCGGTCGCAAGCAGAATGTCCGCCAAGAAATCTGTGTCCAGCGTCCATGTCATGGTGGGGTTGGGATTGTCACACTTGTTGAGTCAACGACACGGCTCGAGGTTAGGTTATCTACGCCGCTCTTTGATAGAGAACTCACTTGTAGAAGTGTGTTAAAAACATCTTTCCTGATCCTAGCATCACCTCTCCCGTTTCTAGGGCTGAGCGCCGTCGTAGGCCCCGGAAACAGTCGAGTTTTCTCAAAGAATATCGAGCGGCCGCGAGGGTCGTTCTACGGTCCATTGGCATTTCACTGCCTAGGAATAACTTTTACCGTCAATTAGCGGAGTGGTGGCGAAGAATCTACTCCGTTGTCAGCGATCGAGTTGTGCTGTTACTGGTCTTTTTGAGTTTTTGTTTCACCTGGCGATTGGTTTGGGGCGTACTATCTCTCAATGACATGTTCTTCAGATGGGGCTCGACGGATTTGCCCGAGTGTCATCGGTAGGAACATCGCCTGCCTTTTATCATTATCCTTTGGTGCGCCCTTTCTGGGATTATGTCAGCGTGATGACGGATCGTATCTCTCCCGAAAATCTCATGCTTATAGATCTCGCATACGCGTGCTAGCAGTGGCAAGAATGTGGATCCGGACGACGCAAATTGAGGGAATCTTGAGATACGAACGCTATTCTCATCAGTTTCTGCTCGGCTTCTTTCGGCATCAGAACTTATAGAAATAGTTTAGTGTCGACAGCATAGGTGAAAGTAGCAAGCTTTGTTCGTGTGATAGGGGCTATCTTCGAGTTCCTTTTTGAAGTCTCCTTAGTCATAATGAGGCGGATATTGAACATTCCACACGACTTCAAATAGAAGGCTAGAAAGGAAACGCTTCTCACTATTGGCAAGAGATATAAGTGAGTGACATGAGAAATCTATTTTCATAAAGGATTATTTTTAAAGAAAGCTCTTAACCCATTAACTGCCACATTTTTTTGATGCGCGTTTTTGGCCCAGGCAGGTGTCTTAGGAGTTTATTTATTCTTTATGTTTAATTTCAGTAGTTACCATTGTCGTGTTTATAGAAACTAGAACGTCAGATATATATGTGCATAAAACAAAAAATAATATCGATTGGAAATAATTAAAAAAAATGCTTTTCAAAATAGTCTTAATTTTTCTACTCGTGAAACATAAAATTACGACAGAAAGTGTCTTCTTACGGCTAATAATAAAAACTTTAAAGTGTAACTTGTAAAATATACCTCTGCAAATGCAATGTATGTAAGCAATTCAATGTAAATACAAGGAATAACATGTAGTGAGTTTAATTTTAACAGATCCCCACATGGGGCTCGTGGCAGGTAATGGGTTAAATCAATCTATCAGGAAAACAGATTTCTCAAATCTCTCTGTTATAGCTCTTTCAATGGCTTCTCGGTCAATGAATGCTAATTGTTTCCTCATAAAGAAAACGGCTAAAATTAGCATTGCCATATAGGAACGTAGACAAGTACTTTTATAAATGTACTGTTTTCCATGACTGAAAATGATGAAATATTAGGTTGTAACTGTATTTGTAATAAAGATGTATAACATGTCAAAAATGCCAGACAGCGTTTGGCGCACATTTATAATTTGCCGTATTTTTTGTAATTTTTCCCGCCTTCTTTGCCTTCGTAATGCTGTCTCTATCCATATTTTCTATTGCTTCTAATTTTTTTTTAACAATGGGTCAGTGGTAGAAAAAGACAAATTGAGATCTGTAGGAAGTGTTTGTTAGGAGTGGCGACGATGCTAAGGCGCCATCTGTGGTTGAAGGAAGCGGGAAGGAAGGACGGGCTGACAGGTAAAAGAACAAGGGAATTGATTAACCGTCGGATTTGGTTGCCTGCAGAGATTGCTTTTTCCTGGTGTTTGGGAATAAAAAACACCGACTAAGGAGACGAGAATAAGAAGTAATTACAAAAGAAAAGAGCGAAAAAAGTTAACAGGTAACGAACAGAGGAAGTGAACGAAGACATAAGCGCTGATTAAAGAATGAAGATTGCAATAATGATAAAGTTGCAATAACTACCATGTTAAAAGCCAACTTCAGTTCTCGTAATACAAGAAATTTCTCCTCTCTCTCTCTCTCTCTCTCTCTCTCTCTTTCTTTTTAGAACTTAATCTGCTTTTTTCCCCATTTTTCTGCAATTTCTGTCGCACATAATGAGGAAGAAGTGCTTGGAAAATTTGACACTCACAGGGCATATTGAAGGCAAGAAGAACAGAGGAAGTCATCGCATAACGGACCTAACGAGCTTGTGTAGATGGTTAGTAGAACTGGGATTAGCATATATAGCAAAAACAAAATATACAAAAGACTAGAAACGAAAAGAAAGTGTAGAGAGCTGATCGCTAACGCCCTGAAGAAGGAAAACAACAACAAAAACGTAAATACGAGAATGGTTCAATAAATAAGGTGAATTTTTCGGTATAAGGACTTCTAATACAGATAGAAGCTTTTTTTTAAATTTTTCAACGTAGTCTTCCAGCGCTGTCACACACTTTCCCATCTGTGCACAAGCTTCCGTATTCCCTCAGCGTAAAAATCTTTAGACTGATGTCTCAGCCAGTCGCTCACAACAATTTTGACTTCATCCTCACTTTTAAACTTCGTGCCTCTTGTGAACGCTTTCAAGGGACCAAACAGGTGAAAGTCTGAAGGGGTAAGGTCTGGGCTGTAAAGGGGATGAGGGAGCAGTTCCCAGCCCAGCTCGTTAATGTTCTGCACCGTTTGGGCTGCTGTGTGAGGCCTTGCGTTGTCATGATGCAAGATGACTCCTTCTGACTGATGACCCCTGCCTTTGTTCTTTATGTCTTTCTTGACCTGCCTCAGCAGTTCACAGTAGTTCTTCTGTCAGACTGAATGAGGTCATTGACTGATTCGATCACCTCAGCAGACCTCACTTCTGTAGGCCTCCCATCCTCAACACTGCTCCGTCCTTCTTTAAACAATTTAGGCCACTTGTAGACATTTTTTGGCTGAAACATGTGGCACCATACACAGTTGACATTCTCCTATGAATTTCAACTGGTTTGCACCCTTCAGCAATCAAAAACTTGATAACTGACCGCTGTTCAATCCTGGAGCATGCTTCTTGGTCGGCCATCTTTGTTAATCGCCAAAATTCTCAAAGTTTTTTTTTTCAATCTGCAAAAGAAATTAAATCCATGTGAAAAAGAAGTAAAAAAAAAAATTTAAAAAATTAAGCTTATATCTGTATTAGAAGTCCTTATACCGAAAAATTCACCTTATTTATTGAATGACCCTCGTAGATTAAACGTATCTCGATTCTCTGAAAGAACTAGTACTCTTTTGAAAATGAAGGTGACGATTGAGCGTCTGTTGGGTTCAAAGTAAGTAAGGATCTGCCTCGATGAATTACCTAAGTATCTATATCTATAATTATCAAAATGTGTGTGTGTGATCAGATGTTGTTTATGAGTTTCCACAGTTTTCATCCCATTTCGATGATTTTTTTTTTTTAATAGATAATTCTTCAGTATCGGTTTTGAGTCTAAATTGCCTGGAAAAACCTACAACCTTGAAGGTGAAAAACCGAAAAAAAAAACTGATTTTTGACATTTTGCGCAAAATCAAAGGCAATATTTAATGTCTGTAAAAAAAAAAGAGTACAATCAATTTAGAGAGTTGAAATCTAACGCAAAAGATTATAAGAATTTAAAAAAAAAATAATATTATAAATAAAAATTATAGTATATTATTATTATGACGGTCCATGGAAGATATTCATTCTTTTTAAGAATGAGAACGCAAAAACAGTTTTTTTAGCCCCACCCCATTCAAATTGTTAACCCCCAGTTAAGGATGTGCTTCAGTTGCACCCAATTCTTGTTACTAATATTGATTTTCGGGTGGGACGACTTTAAAGTTAAATTGCTCCAACTGAACGTTAAAATTTCACAGTAATGAATCACCCGGTCGAAGGCGGGTTATACTGCTAGTTCCTTAATATTTTACATTTACAAAATTAATGTAAAAAAAACAAAACAAGACATACACACGACAATTGAGAACAGCACTAAAGACCAACTGAAAACAACTTACATATGAACCTGTCAAACATTATTGAAAAAATCCATTAAAGTTTTGTGACCATTGTAACTAAGAAGTTTTATAACGAAATTCTATAGTAGGCTTCGACAACCATTGGCATGCGTGCCAAACATGGCACGCCGATGACTTGTTTCTGATACGCGGAACTTATTCATTAGATTCCATTTATTCTTTTCCTTTTCCATGTTTATCATTAACTTATGTATTTTTTTTTATTTTCTTCTCGTTACAAATTGTACAGAATGTCACAATCATCAGCTAAGAACCAAATGAAGAGGATATTGAAGAATTTAAAGGATACGGGACTGAAAAAAATTGCATGATTAATAAAGAAATTAAAGCCTTTCTGTTCCGAAAAAATCGCTTGTAGGACTTCTTCTGAAGGGACAGTTTGAAAGTGTCCATAAGAACTTAAGTAATAAAACTGAAGTGGAAAAAATGAGAAAGGATTTCTCTTGAACTGAGCAAGACAAAAAACAGTTTGATACTTTTATTCACTTTATTTCAGGTAGGCTCAGTTCCAACTTACTTCCTCCTATTTTTGAGGTTTCAAAAGTTCTTGTTGGCACGTGGAAAAATTTGGCGTCAGACATTTGGCTGGTTTTGGCTCGCACTCTCAAAAAGGTTGACTATTCTTGTTCTACGGAATCAAGATTATGGTAAGAATTCAAGTGGTAGACCAACAAGGGTCATTGTCGATCAAAGACGATCGGGCTAGTTGGAATGAAATGGTGAGAAGTTTTGGTTTCAAGGCGACCTGAAAGATCGATTTAACATTCTTATTTTTCAACATTTGTCATGGTGAAAAAGATATAACACTATTTGCCTCAATAAACTCAAACGTCCGTCTACGATATTTTAATTTTTATGTGCCTAAGTTTTCTCACATGGAGGAACATGGATCTCCAAAACGCCTTGTGTTTTAAGAATATTTCTTTCTTTCTTATTAATGACTATTATGTGATCAACTCATGCAAACCAATTAAGTTGGCTACTTACTGATACGATAGTCTCTGCTTCTTTTGCGCTGTTATCATTTAAAAAAAAATAGTATCCCTTATTTATAAAATGGTTTTGTATTCTCCCTTACCAAGCACATCCGTTTGCTGGAGCGTCTTGCAATTCCCTGTCGCAAGTGATAAATTTGCGTTTGTTTGGAACTGATAGTCCTGGGTATGATGTATAAACTGCATCAGGTAAGAAGGCCTCTGATCGCGAGATTGGAGGTTCTGAGCAGCCTGAAATCACCGCGTAACTGTTGTTGTTCTCATGTTCACCCTGACTCAGGGTCTTAGCATTTATTAGAGTCTCAGCAATGGGCCTTTTGCGATCCCCCCTCAAAAAAAACACTATGAAATTATAAAAATACATCTGTAAGAATACCAGCAATACATTTTTATATATATAAAAATTACATATAGTAAAATGATAAGCAATACATTTTATCGGTAGTTTAGGCATACAACTGAATTAAAATATATTTAGTAGATGATATAAAATTGTGTTCCAATTATTTAGATTTCGGCTTTGAGTAACCACGGTTGATATGTCGCTAAAGAAAATCAAATAACTTAAGACCCGTTGAAACCTCATAATATTTATACTGATTATTCCTGGGCAGATTTTAGTTCTAGTTTCCGGGGGAGTGGGTATAATCTATCATGATAAGTAGTTTGAACAACGCCAGTACACTAAAAACTCGGGCACGATTACTCGTGACTTCGTGCTTGTACTAACATCGGCAATTTCAGAACAGTTCTATCTACTCAATTTTACACACAAGGCTTAGGTTTTTAGACACTTTCCAAAGATTCCACACGCTGGGACGGCCTCTCCATGACCGATAACAGCAAGAAGTCACCTTCCGCATAAAGTGGCCATAGTTATATTCGAAGCCTGGTCATATGGTTTGAATGCAAACGACTCGGCCACGAGCCATATTACGAAGTACGTGTGCAGATTAGGGATTGCTTCATCCTTTTCCATTTTTCGATGTCTAATCTTTTATATGTATAGAGGATAGAAGAAATATCTTCTATCGCAAACCACCATATATACTCATCTATTTGGTGGCTAACATTTAAAATCAGCATAGTCCACAACGTCATCTAGTTGCAAATGTTTGACCTTTCGATTTGACCTCAGCTATCAAAGCCCTGGTAAGAATAACTGCTTTGGTATCATCTCCGTTCCCAAGGTAGCAACACCATTTCAATTATATTGTGTATCCCCCAACCAAAAAGAAAGAGAAATTACGACTTTGATTCCAGGAATTGAGCAAGGTATTTTGGAGAATTTTTCTTTTGGAGCCTGTGCGCAGATAATAAAGATAAAATTTTGGGAGGATATGAACAGCTCAAATAACCTCTCCAATACGTCCTGTGAGTTTTGAACTCTCCGGATGTCCTTCTTTCACGTGTCAAAGAAAACCCTAGTTAAACGAAATGTTAGCGAAGGGTTTACGTGTTCTTCCCTGGTGCAAGCAATACGTGAGAAACGCCTGTTTAAAAAAATAAGATGTTCTTAATAGCAGTAAAAAAATGGAATAGAAAGTTTATATCCAAATTGATAGATTTAGATGATACATTTGGAAAACGCGTGTAGATGCATGAATAGAATTCAGATTTGCACGAGAAAAATACATTAAGATACTTAATCTTTCATAAGCGTGTACATGTTTACGAAATATTTGTTTGGCATTTGAAATACAAAAAAAAAATTTATTGATAAACTTAATGGATACGTCTTTTAAAGTTCATCACGGAAAAGAAAGTCCAAACGTAAAATGTTCCGTCGTGCGTGTAATAACTTTTCTTTTGTAAATAGCACTGAATCATGTTTCTCTCTAAATTCTGACGTATTTTAGGGAAGTTATAACTCTGGGTAAATAATTATAACCCCTTAACATTTATATACACAAAAATACTCTTTAAAAAAATGAGAAACAGCAAGACCAAGAAGCAATATAACAAGTATTATTTATCATCTGGTTGACAGTGTAATGTGGTATTACAGATACAAGAAACAGTAATACTGAGTAAATGTTATATAGCCTTTCTTATACGTCTTTTTTATACAATGTGTATAGTAGGTATCCAGATAATTTAGTTGGAGAAAAAAGAATGGTGTTTTCTTACCTCGAATTTCGGTTGTGAGCGTTAAGAGATAAGTGTGACCGTTGTGGACTGAAAAATTAAGGACTTGAAATTTTTGTCAACCACCTTGTTGACTCTCAGCCCGATAGTGAAGGAGTCAGGTGTTTTTGTGCGTTAGAGGAGAAGAGTCAGTGTGATTCTTATTGGTTCGAAAACGGTGAATTGTATTAACGATATTTATAGGTTTTTATTTATTTTTAATGTATACGACAAAGTGACTGTATAATGGATGCTTATTTATTTGCTTTTCCGAAAATATTAGGACCGTGAATTGCTCATGAAAAGTAATGTTTTATTTATAAAAGTTAGTAAAGAAACATGTCACTGGAAGTATTGTCCATCGCTAGCCACTACATTTTTCTCATCTTTCCGGAAGCGTTTGAATTCCACGCCGCGAAAACGACACATCTTTTGAGGCCATGAGACGACACCTTTTTTGGCATCTTCATAAGAATGAAAGTGCTGCTCAACCAGGCCATATGCCATCGATTGAAACAAGTAACAATCGGACGGGGCAATGTCTGGTGAATACAATGGGTAGGATAGGATTTCCCAATTAAGCGTTTCACATTAGGTTTTCACCCGTTTTGTACCATGTGGCCTTGTGTTGTCATGTTGCAGAATCACTTTGTTGTGTCTTTGGCCGTACACTGGCCGTTTTTTTCTTCAGTGATGGTCTCTAAACTCATCAGTTGTAAATCGATAGCGATCTCTACTGATGCTTTCAATCTGTTCGAGCAGATCATAATAAACTACACCCAGGTGATCCCATCAAATGCGGATCAGAAGCTTCGAACAATGGATATTCGGCTTTGCCGCCGATGTTGATGCATGACCGGGATTACCCCACGATCTTCAACGCTTAAGGTTATCGTAGTGTATCCACTTTTCATCGCTAGTTATGAGACGATGCAAGAAACCTTTTCTTTTCTGTCACTGAAGCAGCTGTTCGCACGTGACAAGACGCCGTTCGACGTCCCTTTCTTTTGATTCATTCATAATGCCTTCAAACGTTTCAAAACTGTTGTGCGATCAACTCCTAATAATTTTGCATATTCAGCTTGCGCATGACATGAGACGTTATGACGTAATGCCTCCAATTCTTCGTCTTCAAACTTTTTCGGTGCGCCAGGGCGTTCTTTATCTTCAGCATCAAAATCATTATTTTTGAAGCATCTAAACTAATCTTTGGATGTTGTTTCCGGCAGAGCATGGACGCCGTAAGTCACAACAAGAATTTGTGTGCTTCACCTGCACATTTATTTTGAATAAAGTAGTGGAATAAAATTCCATACAAATACACTTTCTTCCTGATGAAATCCGACATGTTAAACCCAATGAAAAACAAAGTTGTGTACACTTCGGTGAAATATCATACACTGAATTTTAAACTTGTTTACAGTACTTCCTTATAGATGTGTTGCCATCTGAAACTACATGTGCGCAGTTATGGGAACGCCATCTGTTGGAAAACAGTGAAAACTTATTCAAGATCCTAATAGTTAAGAAACTATATTTTGGTAAGTAATATTTTCAATATTTGGGTTTTGAGTGTATAACAAAAGTAATATTATAAAAAAAGTAAGCCTCAAAATCAGTACTACATTTCATTAGTACTGTTCGAATTCCCGTTAATATGGATAACATATCTTACATTGAGCTAGATTTTATTATGCACATCAATATTATATATATATATATATATATATATATATATATATATAGATAGATAGATAGATAGATAGATAGATAGATAGATGTGTGTGAGTGTATGTATGACTTAAAATTAAAGAACAAAACAATTTTTTTAATAAAAGATAATTAGAAAACAGAATACAAAAAGTCTTATCAATATTTACTGCTAAAACCTTGTTTTGTAGCAGTTTAACAACATCAGTTCTTCGAGACTTATCAATTTTTCGCTGGTTCACCTTGTTGGAAATTGACGTAGTGATGAAAAAAATCATTATCTTAAACCTCGCTTAGCAGAAATTCGGATTTGATCTCAGTATATATAAAATATGCAGAATATGTGATCGAGCGGCGCTATATCGAGTCTAATTCGTTACATCTTCGTCACTGATGCCTGTTGGTACAGTTGCTATGGTGTTTGCCTCCTATCGTAACTTCGGATTTCAATTCTCTGTAGTGGATGCGCACTTCTGATGTAGTCCCAAATATCGAACGAAGCGGCTGCCCACTTCATTCTGTTGAGGTTTCTTCTAGACTCGATGAATTAAATATTTCAAACTCTCCTAACCCTAAGTATAGATAGATAGATAGATAGATAGATAGAGAGAGAGAGAGAGAGAGAGAGAGAGAGAGAGAGAAATAAACTTGCACTTTAAGAAGCTTCAACTCATCAACCTTCTTGAGTTTCATTTCAATCGACGAATTCAACTGTCCAGCTGCATTCATTCAACCTCAAATATAAATACGTTTTCCAGTCACATTAAATAGACTGGTTATGTTAAATCAATAGCGAAGTCTGCTGCCAGCAAATTTTGTCGTGCTAGATAATTTTCCTCGATGGAGACCATCTTACGCATTTATAAATCTACTATTGTCCATTCATTAAATTTTGTTGTCATATCTACCATATATCGTGATTCTTGACAAAGTGAAATTTGTACACTATTAACATTATTCGGACTATTGTCCTCATCTTTGTCGCCATATGTATTACAACGTTCAGGTCGTTGTACGCTCCGGCCTTCTTCAGGTGGTTGGAATGTCGAACTGAAACGTAACACTTGGCGCTAAGGCTACACTTCATTAAGTTTTGAGTTGCCTTTTGAGTGCCAAGGACACATGGCACAGTGGGTAAAGGCGTTAGTTAGATCCATTGACGGGACCCAAAGAGTGTGAGTTCAATACCTGGTTAACGTTAAGTGGAGAACTTGGAGAGGGGAATTAACAGGAGATAACTGACATCCATTAAAACATGGCACGTGTAACTAGAACAGTCTACGCCAGTGAGCGAAATGAAGGGTTCAGTACAACATTCCAACAACCTGAAGAAGGCCGAAACGTTGTAATAAATATGGCGACAAAGATGAAGACATTTGTCCGAATAATGTAAATAATGTACAAATTTCACCTCATCTCAGAAATATAAACAGATAATGAAATTTGTAGCAGGATGAATCTCAAAATCCATGAGTTGAAGGTCTTCACGCATTTTAAAGTGGTTACCCCTTTTTAAAGCTCTATATTGTGACATTGAACATTCTCTTTCTTTAACAATTTAAGCATTTCAGTTTATTTTACAGTAATAAGTAAATGCACATGCGCATATAGATTTATTGAAACTTGGATGGGACTCGGCGTCTCTCCTTGAAAGCTGAACGCCATAAATTTTAGTAAAGTTTGTTTAACAAGTCAAATGTACGTGAAACATGCTTAGCAAATTAATGTCCAACAACACAAACGTTAAAATAACATAACGTCATTCTACTTTTTATCCATATTTCATTCTCTGATGAAGTTTTAATAATAGTGAAAGAAGATAGATTTAAAAACGTTTCCTATTTGTTCTTAATCAAGTACATACGCGCACACGTTTATAAATCTGTCTTGTTTAATTTTTATTAAAGCTTCTGAATTCGTTAACGATAAAAAGAAGAAAGAAATTGAGGTATATTTACTTTTATGCTTGATTCTCATTGGTTAATCAGATTCCACGTGTATTTAACGTGTGTGTGTGTGTGTGTGTGTGTGTGTGTGTGTGGCGGGGAGGTAACTCTTGAAAATCGTCTTCAAAATGTCTGCACTTTTAGATGTGATTCACCAAATTCTTTTACCAGAGCCTAACTATCATCATGATAAATACTTCAGCTTTGTTTTTTTTTAATTTTATTTTTGTTCCTTTCCCATTCATTATTCTCAGACGCCTGTTTTTCTTGGATTCTTTTTTTTATATTTTTGTCTTCATTAATCTTCGTTTTTTCCTGTCATCTTGAAATGATCAACCATGAAAAACCATCTTGTACTTCCGCCTTCATATCAATGACGCCAAGTAACTGATTCACATCACAAATATTTCCCGACTGAACAGGATTAATTGCAAAACACACAAACACATTTTAATCTATTTTCTTATCCAGATGGTCCGATTATTATATATTTTCCTTCGATTGACTCTGCAATTACGTATTAAGCTTTTCAAAAAGGAGTCGAAATTAGTGTCTTCTATTATTGAAAAAAGAATTACGAGCTGATTAAGACAACTCAAAATTTAATGAAATGTAGCTTTAGCGCCAAGTGTGACGTTTCTCATTCAGTCAATGAAATCAATAGCCTCGTCTGGAAGGAGGTCGAATGAAGTACCCACGCATTTTGTGACCATGTGCCTGATAAAGACAAGCTTAGAAAAAATCTAACGGAGGCAATAAAACGGAAAAGAAACTGAAAGAGCCATATTTATTTTCAAAAGAATTTTGGTTATATACAGGTATATTTTGAGACATTTCTTTGTTTATACTTTCTTTTAATAGATACAGACATTTAAGTAAATACTTTGTTTATAATAAACAGTATTAACAACATTTACCGGCCTCAATGTCCGAGAAATTTTCATAGAAAATATGCATCCTCCGACAGGAACCGAACCTGTATCCTATACGGAACCGTCATATAGCCTGACGTGCTTATACCGAGTGAGCCACAAAGGAGCATTTCAGTTAACAAGGTCGATTTTACTGTTTTTAAAACTACAATTCTCCATGATTTTCTCTCATACATTCATATCTGATCGATGCGTATCTAAATGTAAACAAATGACGTCACACATTATGAAATTGACAAAGTCCGCCAATTATTTTGAGACATTTTTTCACTAATACACAGAGATATATAGTCGAGTAGTTCAATAGGTGAACACATAGGTATTGGCCAAATTTTCGTCTGAAATTTGTATTAATAGTGATGATATAATGAAGTGCATTGACAAGGAAGGATACTAAACTGAAAAAATGTTTACACAAATAGACGCTTCATTTATCTGTGTACTGTGTGTGTATGTCTTGGGATGGTAGTGCTACTCTGGGTGAAGAGGATTAGTGCTGGAAGACTCTATGTCTAGCAACAGGACTCTGCACCATGCCACACAAACAAGAGGGTCCAATCATAGCTATCAGGCAATTTCTGCAACCACATCACCCCTTACATTTGGCCAGATAACTCCCCAGACTGGACATCTTGTGATTATTAAATGTGGGCGCAGTTAAGCGAGAGACTAAAAAAATCCTTGTAACATCAAAGTGGAACTGAAGGCATAGATTATGGATGCATTCCCCAACTTAAAAAAGGAGATTGTCCAGAAGAGATGATGGAGGTTCAAAGTAGTCTGGAAGTCACAGTTGAAGCTAATGGCGATTAAATTAAATTAATTTATTATTTAGAATTTGAAGATATTTTTGTGTAATATTGGTACTTTTATTTATTAAAATGAGATGTCAGTATTATTTTCATTTTTGCGTTAATTACACGAACAATTTAACCATTGTACCCTTTCACTTCTCTCTCTCTCTCTATCTCCCTCTTAATATATATATATATATATATATATATATATATATATATATATATATATATATGGCAATAAAGATAAAGATAACAGTCCAAACAATGTCAATAATAATACCTCATCTCAGAAAAATGGACTGATAATGACGATTTTATTGAATGAATTTGTTCTTTAGTATTTCGAGATATTTTTTATCTAATTTTGGTAAATATAACCGTTAAAATGAGATGTCCTGGTTATTTTTATTTTTGCGTAATTTAGACGGCAATTAATCCATCGCAATCTTTATATGTGTGCGTGTATATATATATATATATATATATATATATATATATATATATATATATATATATAGCAACTGTACCTTATACAGAAACTACACCCAAGCTGCTATTTCGTGTTTCTCGCAACTCGATCATCAGACAATACGAAATTAAAATGATTGCTTTGCGACGAAGTAGCAATTTGGTCCTTGTGGGCATGTCTTGATTATTCAATTAAATTTCAGCATGTCTGGGCTAAGTAGAAAAGTAAGGTCAGTGAGTGGAGGGGGGCGGAAGTTATTTTTTCCTAGTATATAAACCTGAACATAGATATAGAAAGGCTATCATTGACAATTGCGTAAAATATATAAGCCCTCTGTCTGTCTATCTATCTATCTATCTATCAAACTATCCACATGTGCACACACAGTCTGCACGCACACGAATGTATTAATAATTTACTTAATTTTTTTTTACTGAAACTTTTACTATATAGTTAAAGATGTAGTATTGAATGGTTTAATATTAACAATTTTTATAAAAGTATGAATTTTAGATTCTATAATAATTTTAAGTTCCTCTCTAAAATGTTTAAGGATCTTTCTTCTGTTCTTCCTTGCACTGGTGTTGATAGGTTACATTTATATTAGTGTCCATTTTCAACCGTCGCGTTTATCTCTACTCGACTCCACCAAAATAGTCCCTTAAACATCTATATCTATATAATTCCATTTCTATGATAGACCAATTCTTTCTTCCTCTCCTTTCATTCTTTCTTTTACTTTTTTCCTTCCTTTGCCTTTCGTATTTCCTGTGGAGAAAAGTGGAATTTTCTTATTTTAATAAATGCAATTGCATTGACAAGGCCAGGGAAAAGATACTTTCCCATGGACAAAATGATTATCTGTATGAAGGAAATTGTTTGTATCTCAGTAATTTTAAATCACTTATATGCTAAAAAAAAAAAATAAAAAAATATATATATATATATATATACGAAGCTCTCTTTTGTGGATCAGCTTAAATATTTTATATCAATAGGATCTACTTAGATTGTTTATTCACAGTTTTTTTTTACCTGTCTGAAATATATATATATATATATATATATATATTAATATAAAAAATAATCAAAATGAGAAAATCGGCAGACAATTGCGAATGATTACTGTTGCGGTGTCCTCCCTCTAAAGAGTCTTTGTTGGACTCTTCCGCCTACTATAAGATTAGTAGGGGAGAAGGTCTTGGCGGGAACAGTCGAATAGATTGAAAGTTGTGTCAACCAATACACACTCACTAGGCGTGTAATACTCTTCTGTTGTACTTACTGTTTAATATATATCTGCAACACTTGTTTTGTTATTTCTTTAACCATTTACTTGGTCACAGTAATGTTCGTCATCTAAGTATATATAATTATGCATTAAGCCTATATATATATATATATATATATATATATATATATATATACTCTTTCTATATAAGTATAGCTGATAACTCTTGACGGTTTGACTGACAGGTCCGCCTTCGAAACTCTGGAGTCAGGATGCCG